AAAGACAGGAGGGCAAAGGGTAGAGATGAACAGAGAGAGGCCGGGTCTGAGAAACATGCTTGCAGCAGAACTGACCTCGAGGGCAGGAGAGGAGGTGGGGGAGGAAGGGATGAGCCACGTTGCCAACTTGTGAAATAGGTGGTGTGATGACGACAGGCAGTCCAGGAACCAAAGAGGAGAAGCAGGTTTGAGGGAAGGCGTCAGTGTAGGCATGGACACACATTGCAATTGCTATGTCTCAGAACACATACGTCACAGCAAACTAAGCAAGCTAAATTAAAATAGAAGGATGAAAATCTGACTTTAATCTCAAGGCCAGGCGGATTTGGAAAGTATTAGCACATGAGCAATACTTTAAAACATGAGCATTGATGAGAACACTTAGAAAGGATTAAAAGCGTGCGCCACCATCGCCCAGCTCAGGTTCAAATTTGTGGAGAACTTCTTTGCAATCTGTGTCTTCATTCTTATCCCCCATCTTTGTCCATCTTGGAGTCCAACATGTCTTTCCCCAACTCCACTTCTGCACATGTTGGTACTTTCCAAAACACCTCTTGCTTCTGTTACCTAGCTATCACTGTCTTACATTCCTGGGCCGGCTCAGATGCCTTAGTGCTTCTTGTATTTCTGAGGTAGGGTTGTATCCTTTCTCTATGTTCTCACGTCATGTAACAATTCTTTTTCTCCCCGCTTTGGGCTAAGATCAAGTGTACTATTCCAATTAATTTTTTTTCTAACATCTGTCACGTGGACAGTGATGATGCTGCGTTTCCCTCACTCGTCACAGTATCTGAATGACTAGTCCTTGCTGACTAGAACTTGCCTAATGAACGCTAATGAAAAAGGGATGAAAGGAAGGAAAGGAAGAGAGCAAGGTGAGAAGGGAAGATGAGAAGGAGAGACTCCCAGAACATCTTTGCAGCACGATGTGCCCTTGTGTGGAGAACCACGGCATTACTAACATTTGTCTGACGATGGAAAACAGTCAAAGATGAATAGTAATTATTTGCTTGCTGGAGATCAGAAAAAAATAGCTGCTAACTATTTGATACACAGGATGAGATGCCTCAGTTTGCCTCAGCAGACCTAATCTGGTTGCTGAAGGTTTGGAGGACTTCTGGTGAGTTGTTAGTCATCTGTGCTTGTGGAAAGGCCGAAGAAGCTGGGTTCCACAGTCAGTGAGAGACACACAGCAGGGGCAGGAACAGAGCAGGTGCACACACAAGCAAGGCAGGCCGGTGAAACCCTCCCTGCATTTCCTTCAGAACTCTTTATATCTAGGACGCTGCTAGAAGGTTCTGCCTACTATGGGAAAGGGTCTTTCCCTTAAGTTACTCTTTCTAGGAAATGCTCTCATAGGCCTGTCTAGAGGTCTGTCTCTTAGTTGATTCTAGGTCCAATCAAGTTGACAACCAAGATTAGTCATCAGGAGCAGAGACCTACAGAAAGCAAGAGAGAGAAGTAGAACAATGTGATGGACCGAACCTATTGGTGTTCGTAAGACAGATTGCAGACAGTGGAGGCTGAAAAGGCAGTGAGCTGAGCTGGCTTGGCTGGAATGTTCAGAATCAGGAAGAACCTTGGGTTATTGAAACTGTTCCTTTATTCTGAAAAAGTATATTTAATAAATGGAAATGTTCTGTCTTCCATTCTGGACAGGGCATTGTGACTATCATGTTTAGAATAGATTATAGAATCAGGAATATTACACGCCAGAGCTCCTTACGACACATTCTTCTGACTGGAGACTTAGACAATGAGAATAACAATCCAGGGGAGAGAGAGTGTTGGCCTGGACCAGATTGTGTGTGGTTGGGATGTTGAGAAGTGACTGAACTCTGGCTATAACTTTAGGAGAAGCAGTATGTTCTGACAGCTTGGACATGCTACAAATATGGATGTCAAGGTTGACTTCAAGGCTTTTGACCTAAGCAAACGGGACAACAATTTGAGACGTCTTTGATGAGACATTTACTTAGAGATATTCAAACAGGTACTTGCTCTGGTCAGTTAAAGCAAAAGGGGAGCAGTAACTTAAAGAGAAAGAATCAAAAGTCAAGCAGCTTGGGTTTTGTTTTTCAAAGATGGGAAGTGGTCATTGGTATACATTAGTGCACCTGGAAGTCATTCCAAGCAAGGAGAGAGATAATGAGAAAAGTACGGGAGAACTATTGGAACTAGGACCTGAATAGGTGGGGGGAGATGAGCCAATACTGCCCTTAGGCCCATAAACAGGCATTGCAGCAAGGGAGGAAAGTAAGGTGTCCCCGGACTGGAATTCCTCTGAGGACTGTCTTCCTTTCTCAGGGAAACAAGCCATCAGGCAAGCAGCGAAGCTGACACTAGGTGAGAAGGCGGGAGGAGAGGGTTTGAAGACAGAGCAGAAAGCCTGATGAGGTACTTTGGGACTCTGGCTTTTAGATTCTGTCTCGAGATATATTTATGAATCTTAAGATTTGTGATTTGAGATCATTTAGATAAATTTAAGCTAAAAAGGGAGTTCTTCACACCTGCCAAGATTAAGAATTGCTTAATAAAATCTTTTCGCTCCATGAACATATGTGGGTTTGAGTGCATATAAAGCGGAAGCAAAAATATACTTTTCAGTGCTTGCCCAGGATGGTGGGAGTGGATGAATGAACTGCCTACTTTGATTTACATACATTGGAGATACCAAGAAGTGAATGTCACATTTAGCTAACAGAGAATGAAGTCATATACACCCAGAAGACAATGGTCCCTTATAGCATCTAGTCTTTCTAGTCTGAATCTATCTCCTTAATGGTCATAAAGTAAACATGTTTTCAGATGAAAACAAGAACATAATATGCACTCATATTATCTGGGGTTGGAACTTGTCAGAGACCACAGGCCCCCATGACCCCACCTTCCAACACCCACTCCAGCAGATCCTTCTAGAACACAATACAGACTCATGCAGTCTGAGTTTGGAACCTGCTGTAAGACCACAAGCCCCTCCTACCACCATCACCCACCTACACATTACAGGAAACCTTTCTCTCTGAACATTTTCACACAGGAGAAGTTTAGCAGCTTGAAAGCTTTAGCAGTCAGAAGGTAACTTTCCCTGCTATAAAAAACGGGGCCTTTACAAAACTCTGCAAGGTATTAATAAGCGGAGGACATGGCCTATAGGGTTTAGAATTTGTTGTACTGAAAATGAAATTTGACCTCATGAATAACAACAAAGGTGATGGTCCTTGCCCATTCCGTGGACGTTTGCCCTTTAAAACAACCCCCCACTGCACACGCACACTTAGCACTGAGAAGCCTTGTGTTCAAACCCTGGTATAGAAGGGCACTGTGCAGTGCTCTCTCTGCTCTTAGAGGATCCATGCTCTTTTCTTTGAAGACAAATACAGTTTTACTTCAGGAAAAAAAAAATCTGTTTTTAGGACTTCTTTGATTTTAGTTGTCTACTTTCTCCCTGAAAAATATATTAATAATATCTAAAATCTTTCAATAGGTGGGTTAGAAATAGACTTGGGGGAGGGGAGTTCGACAGACCGGCCTGGGACTTACCTTGACCCCTCAGCAATCCCCCTACCCCCTTCTTCTAAATGCTGGGATTACAAGGCACGAGCCTCACTGACATTTATTGATATACTTTTAATCCTAATGTATGCCGGTTTTTTCATATTGTAATGTAAAGGAACCACTTCTACAGATTCATATTTACCTTAGTTGTTAAATAGGACCTTGAGGTTAACTTCAAATAACTTTCTGTTTACCGGCTTAATTTGTCAAGCATTTGTAAATTCTACAAAACATGTTTTTAGAAAATTTATTAGTATATCACACATAAACATTATAAATAATCTTCCTGCAATGCTGTTGTCATCTGCTTATTTGACTTACATTTGAGACAAGATGGGGGAGCTAATTTAACTGACAGCGAATGAGGATTCAGAATTAAGTTTCTCTGCACCCCTAAGAGGAACTATAGTATTAGTCCCCTCAGAATCAACATTCTGTATACTCTTGAGGTTAGACATTATTTCTGGAATTGATTCAGTAGTTTCACTTTCTAGACATCAAGAGCACTTAAAATTGAAAACCAAGAACATACTAGTCTTACTTTATTTCGTTGTGTGGATCCGTTATTACTGAACTACAGTTAATCATGCTTTTCTCTATGTGAGATGTTCCTGCGGGAAGGAATTACACAGGATTAAGTCCCCTTCCAGCGCTCCTCGGAGCTCTGCACGGAAAGCTCTTTTCTATTTTGCAAGCCTCAACAAGTCCGCTGCTGAGTCACAATCTCCTTTCCCCCCTGATGTGAGAAATCTTTCTCCCTTGGAAATTAATAAAGCTTCGGAAATGTTCTGATTCGAGTCTCCCGGGGGAAGGAGGGAGGGACGCCAGAATGAACTTGTAGAGGAGGAGTCCGGCACACCCGGATCACAGTGACAACGCACCCAAGGCATGCTGCAGCAAGGCTGAGAACCTACTCAGCGCAGGCGTGTGCAAATAACCATGCACAGCCGGGACAGCGCCAAACTTTGTTCCCCTTTCTGCAGTGAACACATTTGCTACACAGTGCGCTGGTGCTCCGCGGTTTACCCTGGAAAAAAATAAAAGCTTTCCCGCGGTGGCAACTTGATGTCAGTGACAGTCAGTGACAACTCGCTTGGGGGTGCACCAGAACACCGAGCGCGGGACCTTCCCAGATTCCAGCAGCCCAGCGCCGGTGCCCTCGGTGCAGCTCCCCGACAGCGGTCCCTCACGTGACCCCAGGGGCTGAGAGAGGGCGGGACCTGAGCTGGAGGGCGCGTGCAACCGGGGCAGGAGGGGCGGTTGCCCAGGAACTGTCCGCAACGCCCGCGCGTGCTCGCCTCCGTGCGCACGCGCGCGCGCACGCCTCTTCCAACCTCCACCGGCCTCTTCTCCATTCCGCCCTTGGCAAGCTCCGGGCCCGAGGGACACGCTGCGCGCGCCCGCCGCCTGGCAGCCTCCAGGACGCATGCTAATGAGGGGCGGGGCGAGGCCGGCGGCGGCGCGCTCCCGCGTGCCGGGGCGCGCGGCGGTGGGCGGGGCGATTGTGAGGTGGCTGCTGACGCACGTTCCGGCGTTCTTAAGCGGCGAGGGCGGCGGCGGCCGAGGCAGCGGCGGTGCCGGAGCCGGTTCCGGGAGGTGGCGGTGGCCTCCGTGAGGGGCGGCGGGGCCCAAGTCGGTGTGCCCTGGCTCAGTCACAGTGTCCCATTCCCACTGACCCCCCCCACTCCTTCCACCACGGCCGCGCCGCCACGGCTCCCGGGTCTTCCTAGGCGGGGCAGGGGACGGGGTGCGTCTCCTGCCGCGGCCGCCGGCCTGATAAATGCGGGACTTCGGGTTCGGGGTGCTGCACACTGCCCTGCTGCGCAGCGGCAGCCCCCGGTCCTCGCCCGGCGGCGGCTCATACCGGCCCTTCGCCGCCGGGCCGTCCACCACGCCCTTCGGCCCGCTGTCGCCACCGCCGTTGCCTGTCACCGGCTTCTCGGAGGCCGCCTCCCCCTTCGCCATCCCCTCGGGCGGCGGCGCGGCCAGCCCGGCCGCAGCTTCCTCTTCCTCCCCGCTCGTGGCGCGTCAGCAGCAGGCCGTGCAGGATGAGCTGCTGCTCGGGCTGACCCAGCAGCCGGCGAGGCCGCTCTCGGGGGCGGCGGCGGCGGAGCAGCTCCCCAGCCACCACCCCGGCGGCGGCACGAACGCGGGTGTGACCCACCTCCTCCCCTCCCAGGACTTCAAACCGAGTCTGCACCACCCCTCCTCCTCCTCCGCCTCCTCCTGCTGCTGCTGCCGCACCTCCTCCCCGCAGGACTTCAGTAAGCGGCAGCAGCAGCAGCTGAGCAGCCAGAAGAGGAAAGAGTTGAGCCCGCCACACCGTCCCCACCCTCCGGACGCGAAGCCACCGCCGCCGCCGCTCCACTGCCCCGGTCGCTTCAGCTCGCCGCCGCCAACGCCGCCGCCGCCCGGGCCGCTCCTGCAGTCGGCGCCGCTCGCCCAGCGCCCGCAGCCGTTCAGCCTCCCTCACACGCAGCACCTCCCGCCGCAGGACTTCGCCCCGCGGCAGCGACCGGCCGAGCTGCCCCCGCTCCCGCAGCTCCCACCCTCACCGTCCGCAGCCCCGCGGCGCCGCCACGGAGGCGCGGGAAGCCCTCGCCAGACCCCGGGCGCGGGCGAGGGCAGCGCCGCCGAGCCCCCCAATGCGGGCTTGCCCCCCTCGACGCCGCCGGTGAACCCCGCGCCGGGCTCCATGGAGTCGCCCAACCACCCACTGCTCAACAGCCCCAGCACCCTCCTGCCCGGCGCGGCGCTCGGCACCAGCGCCTTCAGCAGCCTGCAGAGCTCGGACCTGCCGCACCCGGGCGGCGGCGGCGGGGGCGGGGGACCCCCCGGAGGCGGAGGGGGAGGCGGCTCCGCGTCTCCGCCACCGCTGCCCGGTTTCGGCACCCCCTGGTCGGTGCAGACCGCATCGCCGCCGCCGCCCCAGCCTCCGCCGGCGTCCCAGCAGCAGCCACCCCAGCAGCCGCCGCAGCCACCCCAGCAGCCGCCGCAGTCACAGCCTCCGGGCTCCTCGGCCGCCACCCCGGGCGGCGGTGGCGGCGGCGGCGCGGGCGGCTCTCTGAGCGCCATGCCGCCGCCCAGCCCGGACTCGGAGAACGGCTTCTACCCCGGGCTGCCGTCGTCCATCAACCCGGCCTTCTTTCCGAGTTTCTCGCCGGTGTCGCCGCACGGCTGCGCGGGGCTCAGCGTGCCGGCTGGCGGCGGAGGTGGCGGTGGTGGCTTTGGCGGCCCGTTCTCGGCGCCCGCGGTGCCCGCGCCGCCCGCCATGAATTTACCTCAACAGCAGCCGCCACCGGCGGCGCCGCAGCAGCCGCAGAGCCGGAGGTCGCCCGTCAGCCCGCAGCTGCAGCAGCAGCACCAGGCGGCCGCAGCCGCCTTCCTGCAGCAGAGGAACTCGTACAACCACCACCAGGTACGGTCCGGTGGGCGGCGGTGGGGCAGGACCCCGCCGCCCCCTCGAGCGGCCAGCGCCGGGGTACGGCGGCGGTCCCGGGACAGTGGGCTCGGGTGGGCAAGCAGAGAGAGGTGGGCTGGGGCTGCTCCGTCCCCGGCATGCCCGGGGCGGACGGGAGCCGAGGCTGTTCCCTTCTGGAGTTTGTTCGGTGCAGCACTGGGAAAGCCCAGGCGGCACCTGCAGCCGCACCCCGGGACTGTCACCGACAAGGAGGAACTGTCAGGCGGCGCGCGGCTCTCGGCTGCGGGGTTGGGGGTGCCCTAGGTGTCTGCTCTTTTTAGTATTTGTCTCATCTTGTGGGTTTGAAGACCAAGGCACCCTTGAAACTAGGATTAACGCGTTTTCTCCTAGACGTCTCCACATGGGGTGGTGTACCGGGATCATGGGGGTATGTGGCTTTGGGAAATGACACCCAGGCAGACTCTTCGCTAGTCCGTGCCCTAGACTCAGGGTCTTTTCTGTTATTGTTCTCCCCCCACCCGACCCCCGCCCAGTGCAGATTTTGGGTTGCCGCTGAGTTCTTGGTGTTGAGAGTTTTGTTGCTATTTAATGGAATTAGCATTTGTTATGGTGATCATTCGAAGTTCAATGTCAAGATAAAGGATTGTCATGGAACCAAAATTTGACTTTAACCGGTCCTTACTTCTCAAACTTCTGTTGACCTAAGTTTTCAAAAGTGAATGCTGTTTAATTAACCAAAGTATCAGCCAACAGATAATCGAAATTAACCCAAGTAGAAGTTAACAGTTTTGTCTGATCGCTGTTTTCTCCCCAAGAATGGGAAATGTGACCTATAAGGAAGAAAAATACCGACTTTTGAAGTAATGCTCCATTTCCCATGGTTTATATGATCTTGAGCAACTGTCTAGTGTGTCAGGCTCTTCATTTTTAACTTGAAGTTTGCCGCGGAAATTTATACGCAATTTTGAATTTACAAAGTCAAAATAGAACGTTATCAGGATGTATGTTGTGATTCATATTTTAACTACAATATGCGCCAATAAACAAAAAGAAATGGGTCTTACCTCGGAGTGTAAGAGGTCACATGGCTTTCAAATGGAATTTTAGGTCATTGGAAAAGAACTTTGAACTGTGAGTCATTTGGTAGGCAAAACAAGGCTACTGCATGGGGTAATTCTGCTGTGACTCCTTGGTTGTGCTTCTCAACTGTGTGGAAGGAGAAGAGGCTTTATGTTCACGATTTTCAGCATTTCAAATCCTGCAGTAACACCCATAGGTATTGGATATCAAGTTTTTAAATTTTTCGTAAAAGAAAAACGTTTAATTTTAGGATTACAGTATTTACTGAGTTTTAGAAATGACATGGTCTGTGTTTTCACTGTCTAAATCTTAGCAGAAAAATCGTTAGTGTTGGCTTATTAACAGAAATACTAGCAATTCATAGTTTCCTTTTTTTAAAAAGTGAATGATGTCTTGTGAATTTTTCATTTTTTGATGACTTTTCTCACCATAGGTTCTAGATGGGAATATATTTTGCTTTTGAATGTCAGTTACCTTAAGAGACTTACATTAAGATTATTAAGAATCAGCAAAGCCTGTGGTTTATTGTATATCTCAGTGGATCCACCTATAGGTAGCATCCGATAATTGCTTTAACAGTTCAAGGATAATTTAACTTAATTAAAGAAATATTGAAAGAAAACAAAATAAAATACCATAAACGTTGAATTAACAGTTCAGGAAAATGAATTTCTTCCTGGACTGACCTGACCTTGAAATGCATCTTCAGTCCACACTGAATGGTTACCTCTGTTGGTTTGTTCAGAGTAGCCCGAGCTGTTTGGGAAGCCTAAGATCTAAAAATTTTGCTTTCATAGCTGAGATAATTAAGACCATTTAACTAATACTAATTTAACTAGTCCTAGTAGAAGATATGTTGCTTTGAGGTTCTTCAAAGTTAACTTAAGCTTTGAAGAGTATTTTAGTAATTGTCTTGAGACATCACTATTTATTGTACATAGGGGATAAAAACTTCCCGAACACTAAGTAAATAGGATCTCAACTAGGAGCGCTTCTTTTGTAAACCCTTAGGAAATAGTCTGTTGGCTTTTGTGTTTTATTTTTAATGATTTTTTTCTTTTATTTTTTATTAAATTCTTAGCTTAGTTCTAAAATTTGAATCTGAATGCTAAGCTCTCCAAGGCCTGTCATTGAAATAGCTGTGTTTTCCTCAGCCTCTTCTGAAACAATCTCCTTGGAGCAACCATCAGAGCAGTGGTTGGGGCACTGCAAGCATGTCCTGGGGAGCAATGCATGGCAGAGATCACCGTAGAAGTGGAAACATGGGAATTCCAGGGACTATGAATCAGATATCTCCACTGAAGAAACCATTTTCTGGTAATGTTATAGCACCACCGAAATTTACTCGCTCTACACCATCACTGACTCCAAAGTCTTGGATTGAAGATAATGTGTTCAGGACAGACAACAATAGTAACACACTCTTACCCTTACAGGTAAGAATGGTATGTAATTGTCCTTATTCCTAATGCTTATCTTTTGAATAGGAAGTGGGGTGGTGGAGGCAGCAATGGCAGTATAGGAAGATTAACAGAATTAAAGATAAAATTTAAGCATATCATTTAATTATTAAAGGGTAAAACACAGAGAAAATGGAGATAAAAGAATTTATCTGTAAACACGCAATGAATGGAAATAAGCTTCCAAACATTTAAAAAAAAGTTTCTACCATTACAGTTTGAAGCCTTTAATTGGCAATTAAAAATGTCTAAGTTAGTTATTTCTTAATAGACAACCAAATTTTGCCTTTCTGGTAGTATAAGCTAAAACCTTCTGTAACTAGTTGCAGATAGGTTTGTCTGTGGCAAACTGTTCACATATTAGAATGTTCTTCATGCAGCTATGATCGTGCCACAGTAATGTTAAGACCCTTTGAATATAATTCACATTGCCTCCAATGGGTTCAGTGTCTATAAATATATACATATGGATGTATAATATTCCCCACTAACTGTGGCCTAATATTAATGGAGGAGATATTTTTTCCAGGCCTGTTTAATATTTTGTGACTCTAGTAAATGAAGTTTAATTTTCATGAAAACCTTTAAAGGATGGAACAGAAATTTAAGAAAGAACTTTGATTGTTTTTCATTTCTATCTCTGTTTTTTGGTTTTTGGTTTTTCTTGGGTGGGATGGGGAAGAGAACTGCTCATTTCTGATGCAAACTTCTATGCTATTGAAGGTGAGATCTAGTTTGCAGTTGCCAGCTTGGGGCTCAGATTCACTCCAAGATAGTTGGTGCACTGCAGCCGGAACATCCAGAATAGACCAGGTAGGCTGCACAGTGTGTGCTTCTCAGGGTCCTGGCCAGGAGTGCAGTGTTTACAGTATGAATGCGAGTCATCATTTGCTTTTCAATTATATAAGCATATGCCAGAGATTATTAATACAATTTAGTTTTAAATATCTCGATTTAAATTCTTAATCCATTTATTTTCAAATTTAGAAGATTTGTATTCATATTTTGAAATCATAAAAACATTGGCTTTGATTACAATGAATTAATCATGTATCTAAGAGCACCCGACTTTAAACATCAGTCAAACTGAATAGGTACTGTCTTCCTTTCAGAATTATCCGCAATGAAGATGCAAACTCATATGTGTGTTTACCATCCAGCTTTACATTTCGTGTTTTAAGGAATCTTCCTGTAAATGTTTGTCAGATATGCCTCTGAATAACTCCTGTTTTAATTTAGGGGTTTTTTACCTTTATAAAAATAAAGTTTTGTGGTGTAGTATTTTATTCTAAATTTTGTTCTAAAATATCTTCAAGATCTTTGTGATTTAAAGATGCTGTTTATCTGCAGACTGAATTTGAATGTATTCTGGTACGAGATCATGAGGATTATTATATGAGGACATAAAAACATAGGTCCTTTTATATGAGGAGGTCTTAGAGATCTCAAGTTTGACCTTTGTTTTGAGATTTTGTAAGTGAGTGGCGCTATATAATCCATAGCTAAGGCACTTCCTCAAGTAATTTATCAGCATGAACTGATTTTTTACAAAGACTGTATAGGCAGATTAATAACAGCACATTTTATAAATAGCATTCTAATCTGGGGAACTAGCACTACCTTGAATGATCAGTCATTAGCTGTTGTTTTAGAAAAATCCTGACTATTTATCAAAGTTGTCCCTCCAGGATCTCACATAAAATGGTAGTTATCTTGTGTTTAGCTTCTTATCTTGTTAATGTAAGCTTCCCACTCATCCCTTTCTAGTCTCTTTCTCCTTCTGTCCCAATTCACCATGCATGGCTTTTGAGGTCATTGCCCCATGCTTGTGAGGCATGCACCTTACCATTGAACTGCCTGCCCAACCCCTAATGTTCCACTAATCTCTCATAACTACGTTTTCCTTTTTGTTTTTTTCTTTGCCGTTGGGACTAGGATCTTATTTATAGCTTAGACAGATCCCTGTCTCTATCACTTGAGAACTGAAACTATTAGGTGTGTCCAGAATTTATTATCTGAAAATGCTTTTAGCATTTAGTAAGAACTAATACTCAAAACTGTTATTGATTTCCTCAAAATAGAATTTTCCATGAGACATTTAAAAAATCACAATGTGTTTATTTGTGGATACTTAGAGGTTTTAAATCAATGTAAATTTCCTTTTAACTTAGGTTGTTTACCACTTACATGTTTTTATATGTGGCACCTCTGCAGTATGCCCTGAGAAACCTATCAGTACATGTTATCTTCTCTCTGGGCAGTTTTCAATGTTTTCAATGCAGGATATTTGCTGTATATTATGGAAACGGCCTTGAGCTAGTTAAAGATATTTTCTATCAATCAACCATCCAAACTAATATAAAGTAATAAATCACATTTTGGAGATCTTCTTTAGGGGAAGTCTGTCACTTGACACTTTCATGGGTCTCCCTCAGAAGTAGTGTGTGGTAGAAAAGCAATGCCAGCATTTTATGAGCCTGAACTTCGAGAGTGTAGGAGTCTTTAAACTCACACACAGCTAAAAGTCAAGAAGCTCTTTTGTTTAGCAGTAAGTAGGTGCTTTCCCTGGGTATTTAGTGTCTTAGCCTCAGTCCTTTAAGTGTCTTTGGAATATTATCTGTCTACCCTTTCATAAGTGCTTATGGCTAACATATGGGTACAGAAAAATAGTCACATAAGCAGTAGACTTTCAGAGGCTACTATCGTTTTCCATTTCTTCTGTTTTTGTCTTGTTACTGTAGGACTCTTATCATCTCATTTCTGTAAAACTCCAATTAACTGATTACCAGATGGCTTTAATATTTTAGACTATGGTATATGAACTTTTCCTCAGTTTTTCTGAAATGTCTTAGTAATTTTCAAGCAGCCATGTAATAGTAAAACTAACATGATCTTCTGTATTTGTTAGTATGTCAGGACTGTGTGTACATCTTTATTTCTAAATTGCCTCAAGTCTTCCTTATAGATTTAAACAGATAACAATTTAGATGAGTAAATCTGTTCCTAGTATCCTTACTTTAGAAGAACACATTTGTTTTATAGCACAATATGAATAATTAAATACAATTTGTTTTAAACTATTGCCTTTAAAAGATAGTTATGAACTGTAGAATGTTTTCTTCTAATTATTTAGGGTGTAGAACATAAAATATTTTAAGTACTTATACTTTTAGAGCCTACACAGTACATCATAAGAATATTAATGTTTGCTTTGATAGTTTATTAATCCTAACTTAAATATACTTAAGAACTTGAATATTACAATATTCTTCCATTCAGTAGCTAGAAATTCATCTGATAACAAATCTATTTTAGTATCTTATACTTGTTCCAGTTTAGTCAATTAGCAGATTCTATAGAAAAGTCTAAGATTTAGTCCTTTATAATTACCGTCTTAATAGTAGTCTTTACACTCATCATACAGCTCAACTTACACGTTTTATAGAGAGTTTTATGGTAATGATAAAGGGGTATTCATTTTACAGACATTTGAAAGCTAGATGGGTGTGATTAGAAGGACCCTAGCCTTAATTACTTTAGAAGATAGTGGACGAGTCCAGGAAATGCGCACACTGTCGAGCAGAAGGAGAGATGGTAGAAATGGAGGCATTAGTAAGCATGTAGGTCTTGTTTGCACAAAGGCCATCCTCTTCTCACGTCCATCTTATGTCATTTGCTGTAACAATACTTTATCTGTGTGTTCAAGTGGTCTATAGGCATTGTTCCGTCTGACTTGGCTATTTTCCAGAAGATGGAGGCAGAGTATAAAGAGGTTCGGTGGTGTAGAAGATCCCAAAGCTTGGTGCTGTTTATACTGTGCTGGCCAGCAGCTTCATGGTCCACCTAACATCTCCTTAGTCAGAGGAGTTAAAATGTGGCACCAGTGTGTACTAACCTGCTTTTCACATAATTCTGCAGCATGTCGAGTTTGGGAAGCACCGCTCCTTTTCATTGATTCTCTCCCACTCCCCTACCAGGTTCATCTGTTCTAGTGAAGCAGTACGGATAGGTATGTTGTGTGTTCAGGATCTTTCCCTTGAAGATCAGTGAATCGGACCTCTGTAGGTAGTTGGTGATTAATTGGAGCAAGAGCCTCCTCTCTAGCAGCTTTGCTTCTTTCGGTGTTACTACTCACCCTTCCTAATTCCTTGATAGCGCCTTGTTTAGTCTACAGTGCTGATCCTGGCCCCTGGCTTTAAAAAGCATACAACCCTAGTTAGACATCAAAGAAGAAGAAATAAACAAACCTTATGTTTTTCTTTAGCTCTCCAAAGACCTAGTTCTGAATATTTTCTGGTTGTTGGTTCCTTTGGGAAATCATGAGGGCTATAAGCCATTACTTAATGAAATAATCTATGTAAATGTGCCCGGGTGCATATGATCCTAGAGACTTCTGGTGTAACTTGAATCATGTGGCTCCAGGTTAATGCTTTACTAGGATTTCTGTGGAAACTGTCGGTTTACTTTTCTGATCCTTTTCTGGTTTCCTGTGCTGGTCATTTTGAGAGTTTAGATGACCTATCCCTGCTTCGAATTTGTACATTCATGCATCTAACAAGTGTGTGGGGATGGCTTTGACATATTTTAGAAAAGACATCAGACTCTTTGGAGGGCATGGATCATAGCTTGTTTGTCTCGTTTCCCTTGTTAATTGCTTATTCATTGTGTTTGTGTTGAGTAGAACATAATATCAATCCTTAGACATTAAAGACCTAAATGTTTTCTATAAAGCAAGGGGATTGTATTATCAGCAAAAAAAAAAAAAAAAAAAGCTGCTGTCAACACAGAAGGAATTTCTCAGAGTTGGGGAAGGGGATGTGAACTGAAGTGCCTCCCCACTCCCCTCTCTGCTGCCTTCATTTGGAGTGGAGTTCAGAGAGGGAGGATTACAAAAAGTGGAAGCACTTTGGAGAGTGAGATTTGAATGTAAATATATGAGACATTCTTTTCTAATATTAGTATCCTACATTTAATTTTTGTGTATAGAATGCTTACATATTCACTGTTTTGCAATTCTGAAGACTAAGTCAAGTTTTAAGTGTGTGATAGATGTTTAAAGTGTGGTGCAACTGTTAAATTCTTCTCAAGATGCTCATTTTTAAGTGCCAATGTCTGTCTTCCTAGATATATGAAAGAAACATTAAGCAACTGAAAATGTTTTCTGTGTGTAATATGTGTAAAAATGATCAGAGAGATTATTTCACTGCATTCAGCTAATACTCCAATAAAATTACATTAATTTTTATATATTTTAGAAATGAATGTGCTAAAAATATTGTCCCTTAACAAGAGACATTGTAGTTGACATGATACTTAAATATCAGTATTTTCTTGGGATACAAGTTAAGTAGTAATACATTGATCAAGTGTCCTACTTTATATAAGAAAGATTATATGTTTTTAACTTTTACTTTTAAAATTACATAGATCTTATATCTTTTCTTTTTCTGTCTTCCAGGATCGAAGTAGAATGTATGATAGCTTGAATATGCACTCTCTGGAAAATTCCCTTATTGATATCATGAGAGCAGAGCATGATCCTCTCAAAGGTACGCGGCAATTTACAGCATCAGTTTCATACATATATTGGTTTGTCTGCTTAGGAAAACTTAGTACTTATATAAACCAACTTTCTGATATGTAAAGAAATATCAACATTATTTCATATGCATTATTTTCTGTCTCTTGTTGTCCTTTATATTAGTGCCCTTTATATTGCAATCTTACCACCTTGAGGAAACAGGAGTACTAGTTACCTAATGCGGGTAACAGGTCATGCAAACTTTAGCCACTCAAAGCATCAGTAAGTAGTTGTTGCCACACCATGTGAATATCTTAGGGTTTATGTTGCTGTGGTAAATCACAATAACCAAGAGCAAAGGTTTGGAGAGAAAAGGGTTTCAGCTTAGAGCTTTTAGTCCATTGGGGAGGAAAATCAGGACAAGAGCACAAGACAGGAACCTGGAGGCATGAACAGCAGCAGAGACTTCGGAGTGACACTGTTTACTTGCTTCTCGTCACTTGCTGAGCCTGCTTTCTTATACCATCCAGGACCTGCTGCCCAAGGGTGGCACTACAGATAATGGGCCGGGCCTTCCCATATCTATCATCAGTTTTATGAATACATTTTCTCGATTGACTCCCTCTTCCCAAGTGACTCTAGTTTGTGTCAAGCTGACAAATCAGTAGCCAGCACAGTTAGTGTATTGTGAATTCACCAGAATAATAATTGCTATTTCTAGATCTGTACTTCTCATTGAGTCAGAATCGTGGAATTCTTTATAAGTTCTCCAGTTTTTATCCTACAAATATAATGTTTTTTGAGACAGAGTTTCTCTGTGTAACAGCCCTAGCTATCCTGGAACTAGCTCTTTAGATCAGGCTAGCACACATCCACCAACCTCTGCCTCCTGAGTGCTGGGATTAAAGGTGTGTGCCCCCACTGCCTGGCAAATGTAATTCTTTTAGAAAATTTTGTCCTAAAAACTCCAAAACGGTTTTGTTGGCAGCTAAATTCATAACAATAATCAGAGTCTTTCTCAGCTTCTGAGTTTTATACATAGGGTTTTTTTGTCTCTCTAATCCTCACATTTTAAGGAGCATGTTATGATTGTTGATGTACACTGGTGGCTAGTCCTCAAACTAATATGGTTATGTCTTTTGTTTTCTTGTGGGTGTTGTTGATCTTTTGCCTCTATTGTAAGGTTCTCTGTTTGAGGTCCTGTTCTATTTCACAATTTACCTTGGATCTTCCCTTTCAGAATAAAATCCAGGCATTTGACTGTATACTAGCACTCATGAGACTGGGTAGCAACACTGTCTCAAAAGTAAACACACACACATATAAGAAAGAAGAGAATTGTTAATAGTTTACAACTAAGAATTTCTGTATTGAATTATGTCTTCTCTAGGAAGAAAACTCCTAGGAATTATAAAGTAAAATCAAGCTAGTTCACTGTTACCAATGCATATGAAAAGCTTTCCTTATTTCTCCTGGTCTTTGTTGATAAAGCTTCTTGAAGATGCTAGAGGAAATGTTTCTTACCAACACTACTCATCTGTTTTCAAGCCTAGGCAGTTTACGGTAGAGGGGCATCTCGAGGGGGGACCTAAAAGGAATTGTACCAACAGAATGATGCTAAGAGTAATGAGTTAAAAGTTATGAGAAATTCATATCTCTTTTTTTTATATTTATTTTTTTATTGAGAAAAAAAAATTTCCACCTCCTCCCAGCCTCCCACTCATCCCCTCCTCCCCCCATTTCTCTGCCCCTCCCTCCACTCCTCTCCCCCTCCCCCCACTCCTCTCCCCCTCCCTCTCCAGTCTGAAGAGCAGTCAGGGTTCCCTGCCCTGTGGAAAGTCCAAAGTCCTCCCCACTCCATCCTGGTCTAGGAAGGAGAACATTCAAACTGGCTAGGCTCCCACAAAGCCAGAACATGAAGTAGGATCAAAACCCAGTGCCATTGTCCTTGGCGTCTCATCAGCCCTCATTGTTCGCCATGTTCAGAGAGTCCGGTTTTATCCCATGCTTTTTCAGTCCCAGTGCAGCTGGCCTTGGTGAGTTCCCAATAGATCAGCTCCACTGTCTCAGTGGGTGGGTGCACCCCTTGTGGTCCTGACTTCTTTGCTCATGTTCTCCCTCCTTCTGCTCCTCATTGGGACCTTGGGAGCTCAGTCCAGTGCTCCAGTGTGGGTCTCTGTCTCTATCTCCATCCATCGCCATATCTCTTGATAGAAAAAAATTAACCTTGGCTCTGAAAACGAAAGGAAAACCTAAGCCTTCAGCGACTTGTATGGATCGCCATGTTGGCCAGTTTCTAACTGGAACGTTTCATTTTCCACATGTATTATGGCAGAAAAGGGAAAAGAAAACTGAGCATTTGGGAGAACATTTCCATATACTGTAAAGAAATAGGGCTACATCTACTGCCATGGTGAAAACAGCTATCAGCACTGTGACCTGAGCATTTCAGCACTAGATTTTCTTCTCTTTCTTACTGGCTCATTACACCTCTTCCTGCTTTATCATGACACATTTTCTTCCTCCACACACTCTGATCATTACACTACTGGGAGTGGGGTTGCTGGACCTCTATCCAATCTGTCTAAGCAAGGTGATGCCAGGGTTAACCAAGGCATATATTGTCTTCCCATCTTTCCTTTCCTTCCTTCAGGAAAGCACGTTGTCTTCTTATCTCAGAAAATCTTTCCCTTGTTTAATACACAAACAACCAACATGTTTCTCATAGGAGCAAGATGAAGCTTATTTTATCCTCTTAAAATATCTTCTTCAATCATCATTTGCTTCATCTTCCTCATAAGATCTACCAATAGACAGGAGAGGGAGAATGCAAAATTTTAACATGAGTTCCCTGGTCTCTTTCTATTGTCACAAGAGATTGTATTACTTATATATTGCTGCAAAAATAACTCAAGAGCTTAAAACATTTACCTTATATAATTTGTCAAGCTTAGAATTGGGTAGCAACTTGATTATTTCTGGCTAAGGGTTTCATGAGGTAGCAGCCAAGAAATTGGTTGATCCTACAGCCTGAAACCTTATTAGGCTAAAGAATTCCTTTCCATATGGTAGGAAAGTTACAGCATGACTGCTAATACCATGTCTGCCTAGCCCTGCTGCCCAGAGTAAATGGCACAGATCAGTGCAAATGCCCGGGCGCTCTACAGCCTGGCCTCAGAAGCATCACACTGCTGTTTCCACAGTATGGCTCAAGATATGTAAATATGAAGAGACGGGGGCTGGAGGGGACCATTGTGAAGGTTTATTAGTTCAGGAGTCAAAGGCAGATCTATACATTTATATTTACTTCCACTCATAAGATTAAAGCAAAAGATAAACTTCTCACAGTGGGTGTCAGCAGGGAGGAAACAGTCGAGTAGATGTATTGAATGTGGAAAGAGTAAATGATTACTGATCTGGCTAGGAACTAAGCGACTTCACTCATAGAAGCCACCTCTCCTCCCACTGTCATCTAAAATTCTTTGCTCTAGTTACTCACTTTTTCCAGCACCCACCTCCATGTTTTAAGAAGGAGGTTTTTATGGTCTTGTGTAGCAAACGGGAAGCTCTCAGCTTATTGGAGATGGACAGATAGCAAGTGGTGGCCAGACACGGAACTTTGTACCATGTGCCAACTCTGTACCCTTTGCTCACTGTGCACTGTGAGGATAGACACTGAGGAAAGCCAAGTTCTTTATCCCTGAGGAAGGTATAACCTGCTGGGGAAAGACAGAAGGATCATATACCAAAACTTTCCATGTATCTACAGAAGCTAGAACTACTGTAGAGGAGAGAATGTTTAGAAATATGGTAAATGGAAAGTTATTCCTAATTTATATATGGAATAAAGGGAATTCTGATATGAAGCTGGAGTAGAACATTGATGAAGAATTCCTGAGAGGAAGTGTCATTGCGTGAGAAAGCAAACCTGAGATTGGCGCTTCTGAAGAACTGAAAGACTGGTCCCAGTCCGTTGGTTAGTGCCACATGGCACCGTTGTTATACCCCGCTCATTCAGTATTGTGAGGCATGGTCTGTCATCAGAAACACGAGCACACTGGGTGTGCCTTCCTCAGTCCGAGTACCACTGATGGAGCCGCTGTGTCCTTCTGCGTGTGTTCTCTGTGTGTACACTCTTTCTAATGGCTGTCTTGATTCTAGGCACACTCTGCTTTCCTTTCAAAGGAAGAATAAGTGTGGAATTTTAAATAGCTAAAGAAAAATCATGCTTTGCCAAGTTCAGTTTCATAATTTTGCAATTTTATATTTGCATATGTACTTAAAATAATCTGTGATCTTTTTATGTTTGTATGAGTTGGTTCATTCTTTCCCTTTAAACAAAAGAACAAGACAGATCATTGTTAAGCCGCCCTCCCTCCTGCCCACAACAATTTGTGAAAAGGGTCTTACTGTGTAAGATTTAAACACTGCGCCCTCCCTCAAACTGTAAGGACAAAAAATTGAATTTCAGCTCATAAAAATTGACCTAAAGACAATAGGGAGAAATACAGTTTGTGTAACAGTTCTTGAGATGATCAGCTGGTCATAATGATTTTTCCAGTGTTCCCTGAATAGTTCAAGAAAGTCCAGAAACAAGGGCTTAGAATGGGATTTTATGCCAATAAACATTTTGAAGTGCATACTTTTCAAAGGCTCTAAGAACCTGAGTCTCTATTACCTAGTATCAGCTTTATTCCTCACTGATAAACGCCTGTGTTTATGACTCTAGAAGCAAGAAACCCTGGTGACATTAGGGTACCTGCCCCGAGAGATAGGAGCCGCTTGACGCTGCCTGTGCAGTACCAGATTCTTGCTGTCGCCCTATTTTGCCCTCTGTTTCTCTCATTGACTTTATGAAAGGAAATAAAGTCCAAAGCCACAAAGCAACTTAGATGAGTTTGTAAGCCTCCTGTGGAGAAATCATATTCTAGGACTTAGGAACTTGTGGGTGGGCAGAGGTTCTCAAGCTTGTGTCAGATCCACTCCCACAATTGTATATTTTATTTTTAGCCCTGTGTTGTCACTGGT